GAGCAACACATTTGCCATACAGAACATCCCACAGCAGAAAGGCTCTAAAATACTCCTTCCCCTGGTCGCCAGATTCCTTTTATATGTGTGCTTAAATCACCACATGTCACAGCAGAGCAGGTGCGGCTTTTTATATTAAATCAGACATCAGAGGGATGTGCAGAAGGACAGTCACAACTGCTAGTGGTAGAAATCAATGCTCATTGAAACCCTTCCTGAGTTTGAAGAGTAAGCGAGCGGATGAACAGCAGAGAGTGCAGTTGTGAAAGCTGTGAACCCCAACCAAAGCACACTGCATTACCAACACTGTAACTTACTAGCTCAGACATTTGGAAGTTGGGAGCAGGAGCTTGTCCCCGCTCCTGATGGCCTCTGCTCAAGCCAAGCTTGCTTCCCGGCCCATGCACTGCCTCATCTGCAAAGCTCAAGCCAATGGGGCTGTTGGCATCTACCTCCCTGCATGGCTGCATGGCTGCATGGCTGCATGGCTGCTGAGTTGGAGCAGAAGCTGCTGGCCTGCGAGCTCTTCTTAGGCCCCCATTTGCATCTTGGTTTCATGAGGCCTCAAAGCAAAGGAGGACCGTGAATATATATCAACAGAATCACCTCGTCCCATCCTGCCTCCCCCAGACCACCCCACTTTTAGAGCACAGTAAGGCCGAGCTGACACCGTTGGCCTGGAGTTGTTTCTAGACTTGGAAATCAGACAGCTTTAGTCGATCACAGACAGACAGCCCGTTTGTTACATAACCAGGGTGTGCCTGTCGCACACACCCCAGTATGGCAAAGACTCATGGTAGCTAGTCCAGCCATTGCTTCACCTTGCTTTGTGTCGAGCCTAGGAAAGCTGGCTGTGGGCATTGCTAAACCAACTCTCTGAAACTCCAGGTTTGAGTGCTGCCCAATTCATGGGCTTGTTCTTTGCTCCAATAAACTGTTGTTTATCTCCAGTGTCTGTTCACAGCAGTCTCTTCATTAGCCCTAGGCAACCGCTGGCCTATTTTGCCTGTGTGTTTGCCTTTTATGGATAGTCTTTCATGGCAGGCACCTTCGACTTGGGTCCTGTCACAGCATGCACTGGTGCTCCGTTTTCAATTGTTGACTGTCCTTCTGTGTGCCCCTGCACCACGTTTTGTTGATCCGTTCATCAGATGGGCTGCATCTTCCTGTGGGCTGTTAGGAATAATACAGGTGTGAACATTCACATACAGGTTCCTGTGTAGGGATAGCCTCGTTTCTCTTGAGTTCATACCTACGGGTGGGATGCTTGGGTGGAAAGTTTAACATTTTCAGAGACTGTTAAACTGTTTGCCACAGCAGCGGCACACTTTACACACCACCAAAGGGTTCTGGGATGCTTCATGGTCTGGCTACCACTTATTCAGTCCGGGTGTCTCCACCAATCATAATTCCTGCTGGATATTGATGGCAGGACCAAGTTCTGGGGGAAATGAGTAGCATGGCGAGCATGCTGTTTGTGACTGACCACAGCGGGTTTTGGTCGGCCTCCGGTAGGGCGTTTTAAAGGAGGAAGAGTGCAGAGTGTAGCTGGGAGGAGTCCATGACTGTGTTTTTGAATCCCGTCCTAGAGAGCCCCCGCCAGAGCCTTCAGTAGGAGCCAGGAGATTGCGTGTTTGCACTCATGCTAGAAACAGCATTTTCCTGCTTATGGTGGTCACTTTTAATACCCTTAATTTGGGTTTGCGTAGTACTTTAGAAGACCCAAGTTTATGGAGTAGTTTGTAAAATGACCATATGGATGTCTCTCAGGCAAAGATCTGTCATCACTTCTAGGAATGACTGTGAGTTTAGAAGTCCTTCTAAAATGAATGTGTCAGATACCAGCATTTTGCTTTTTAGTATACTTCATACATGAAGTTTCCCCCCACCCCCGGAATATCATCTGCCACATGACTTTCTGCTATGACCTTTTTTTTGAATATTAATTTCTTATCAGGAAGTGAGAAATAAACCTAATAAAAAAACAATGTTGTAAAGTTTCAGAGCGGCAGAATTACACCACCCCGAAGAGCCCCGTCACCAGATGGCTTCTCTCCATATAGCCCAGAGGAGACGAACCGCCGTGTGAACAAAGTGATGAGGGCCAGGCTGTACCTCCTGCAGCAGATAGGACCCAACTCCTTCCTGATTGGAGGAGACAGTCCGGACAACAAGTACCGCGTGTTCATCGGGCCTCAGGTAGTATTTGGTGCTGTTTTACCTCACATTAGCATATGGTCCCATTTCAAGTCTGTACTATTAAATGATGTTGTTTCTTTTTCTGTGGTTGGAAACTGCATGCAGAGCTTCATGTTCATTAAATAAGTATTACCTCATTCCCAGACATAGGCTTCTTTTAGTCTTTCCTTGGGTGTTTTTTGGTTTTGTTTTGTTTTGTTTTTGCAAGACAGGGTTGCTCTGTGTAGCCCCGGCTGTCCTGGAACTCATTTTGTAGACCAGGCTGGCCTCAAACTCAGAGATCCACCTGCCTCTTCCTCCCCCAGTGCTGAGATTAAAGGGGTATGCAACCACCACCCAGCTTTGTTTTCATTTTGCTTCAGGGTCACACGGTGCCATCCAGCTTGTTTCAGTCCCCTTTGTAGCCTAGGCTTGCCCTGACTTCACAGTCATCATCCTGTCTGCAAGTACTTAAATTACAGGCATGTATGTGCCTGGCTCTCAATTTTATAAAGTGAGTTTAAAATGCATCCAGGCTGTGTGTGATGTTTTTACTGTAACAGTACCTTGAACAAGATAAATTTAATCTGTTGAATAAGTTCATTGAAAATAAATTGTGTAGAAATATCTGTATCTTTATATGTGAGGATAAAATATTAATAGAAATGTTAATAAAATAGACTTAGAAATGCCCAAGCAGGATAGGCATAGATGTTCTGATGGACCCTCCCAGGTGGATTAACCCATGGGCTTTCTTCCTGTTCTCCAGAACTGCAGCTGTGGGCGTGGGACATTCTGTATTCATCTGCTCTTTGTCATGCTCCGAGTGTTCCAGCTGGAACCCTCTGACCCCATGTTATGGAGAAAAACTTTAAAGAATTTTGAGGTAATTTTTTTAATATATAGCTACAGTATAAAATTGGCAATAAACTTGTATGATACATCGTGAAATTTTTCCAAGATCACTGAATCTAAATAGACGGTGGCTGTGTTGGACATCTGAAGCTACTTAAGAATTATCTGATGCCTTGAAAATTCTTTGGTGATTTATTGAGGTGATAAGTGGTTTGGGTTTTTTTTGTTTATTTGTTTCTAAACTATAAAAGATTTAAGTAAACACTGGCCTGTTGTAAAAAGCATTGTCCTTAGTAAATTGCATTCTTGTGTTTAAAGCCCTTAAATCAGCTTTCTGCAAATTAAGATGAATGATCCACCCTTTCATATGCATAATTATGGCATCAATATCATTGACACTATCTTTTTCCAATGTTAGGTTGAGAGTTTGTTCCAGAAATATCACAGTAGGCGTAGCTCAAGAATCAAAGCTCCATCTCGTAACACCATCCAGAAGTTTGTTTCACGCATGTCAAATTCTCATACATTGTCATCATCTAGCACGTCTACATCTAGTTCAGAAAACAGGTTAGTACTTGGCACGAAACTAAGCATCGCTCGAGTGGTGCGTCTTCATTTAGGAGTAATTTTTTATTTTACTTACTAAACTGCTTTACGACGATGTAATTATTGAGTCTTGGTTCCTCACGGTCAAGCAAAGGTAAGGGTTATTAAAGGTCACTTGAAGACATTTTGCTGTCCATACTGTACATTGGAAATGACACGTTAACGTGATGTCCCTTCTTGTGAGAAGCAGGTGGCAGGTGTCAAGTAAGGAGCGGCTGCTGTGGCAGACGTTACCTTAGCCAAGCACCTGATAGCACCGGTCCGTCCTCTTCTTACAAAAACCTGGCCAGGTAGATTTTATCACTGTTCGCAGACAACGAGGCTAGGGCAGTGTGAAGTAGAAGGAAACATCTGTGATTCTTCTATAAATAAATTATATACAAGGCAAGGTGGCTTTCCAAATGACTTTCAAGTATGTGATTTTTATGTTGTGTAACATCAGTACTTCATGCATAGATGTTTTCAGAGAATCTTTACCTGGGAGAAGGTAAGCATGTTCTCATTCAGTAGGCTGCTCAGCCGTAGGAGGAGGCACAGGAACTATCACTCACTCACAGTTACTACTTAGAGTCCGCAATGCTTCACAAACTGCATTGCCCACAGTTGCTGGAAAGATGGCAACGCTAAACTCTGAAGGACACGAAATGCAGCCTAAAATAATAACCGTGGGTGCTTCCAAGTCTCTGGGATTACATGGAGACATCATCCTCTCTGTACCCTCCGTTTCCTTCTACTCCGAGGCACTACCTGTGGGTGCGAAAACGAGGTGGTTCGGGTACTGCAGAAAGCAGAAAGGGCGTCCCTGGTCCTGGGCACCCTGGTTTGAGAAACACTGGCTGTCCAGTGTCACCTTCGTCCCACCAGGCTCTAGGGTCTGACAACCTCAGAACACGGAGCACAGGGTGCAGTGGCCACTGGGCGAACAGGGTTTGGGGTTTTTGTTTGTTTGTTTGTTTGTTTGTTTGTTTGTTTGTTTGTTTCTGTCTGTGAAAAGCACAAATATTTGAACTTTTTTTAAGTTTGGATTCAGTGGATTGACTTTAGAATCCTAGAGCGTTTGAAGTTATTTTTGTGAAACTAAAGGTCTTCTGGCTTACTTAGAATGGATGAAACCAGGAGGGGTAATAGTATAACCAGAATTTGGGTGTCTTGACTCTTAACTCAGCTTTCTTTCTGTTAATCTTTGTCTCTTCTAAATAAGTGAAAG